TCCTCGGGAAATGTATATTTAGATTGAAGTAAAAGGTAGTGCCGAGGGGGGGGGGGCGGCTAGTAGTAGTAGTACTAGTAGTAGTAGTAGTAGTAGTAATAGTAGTAGTAGTAGTAGTAGCTGTTGTTGTTGTTGTCGTAGTTGTAGTAGTAGTAGTAGTAGTAGTCGTGGTGGTGGTGGTGGCGGTGGTAGTAGTAGTAGTAGTAGTAGTGCTATTGCTACTGCAGCTGCTACCGCAACTGCTACTGCAACTGCTACTGCAACTGCTACTGCAACTGCTACTCCTACTACTACTACTACTACTACTGCTACTGCTATTACTACTACTACTACTATTACTACTACTACTACTACTATTACTACTACTACTATTACTACTACTACTACTACGACGACGACGACGACGACGACTGCTACTACTCCACAACAACAACAACTACTACTATTACTACTATTACTACTACTACTACTACTGCTACTACTACTACTACTACTACTCCTGCTGTGCCGCTACTGCTACTGCTACTGATTCTGCTACTGCTACTGCTACTGCTACTGCTACGACGACGACGACGACGACGACTACTCGTAGCAGCAGAAAGGGGCTGTCTTAGTGCACAGAATCCCAAGGCCCTCAACCTGGCAGTTTCAACTCGACCTCGCCTCGCGCACGGCATCCGCGATGACCTGGGTGAAAGCTTGATGATGTAGAGGCCTAACGAATTAATGTAAGGTTTTTGTGGTATGCTCAGATAGAGCTTGGTAAAGACTATAAGGGAACAGCATTCCACACTCGTCAGGCTTTTACCACCAAGTACCTTGAAAGAAGGCGCGAGCCAAAAGGGTTTGGGGTTCCTCCATGGGGGATGGCTTCAGGCCTTCCAAGGGTTGAAGCCCTTTGGCATCAGCGCTGGGCCTCCGAAAGGTCATCAGCCAGAAACGCAGCATGTGGAGATCAGGCGCACATGACATGCTTTCGTGGCGTGGGCATGGGGCTTGGCAAATCTAAACATCAGAGAAGCTACTGCCTGTGATAGAACAATATGACATCAGGAATCCATCAACGAATTCGAGCCCAGCTGCCACCTGAAATCGTGAAGTCCTCTTGGCTACAGAGCAAATAAAGATGCAACTACTTTGTGAGACTGGGCTGCCAGTGGGTTAGGCAACCGACTTAGAGAGGTTATGATGCACTTGTAGAACATATTGCCTAAATCCAGAGTTCCAAGGTCCTTGCACCTGCTGGGGACAGGCCCCATGTAACCCGCATGCTTGAACCCACCCGAAACCCTTAACCCTAAACCCGCCCCCAAACCATAAACCGACTTAGCAGAGATTGTTGCCTCCTCCAAGTGGTGCTCGGCCAAATACTTCTGCGCAGCATCAAGCCTTCAAAAGATAAACTGACTTTTTAGGCTTTAGGGGTTTAGGGTTTAAGGCTCAGTTCTTTGGACAACTGTCCTTAAGTTTTAGTCCCATGCTGCTGCTTGGCAAGGTATGGAAACTTGTAATCCCAGAACGGTGTACAAAAGACTCCCAAGAATGGAAGATCGGATTGCCGGAATGGGGTCTCGGATTTAGGCTGAGGGGGGTATCCTTTGGTTAGCTGGCTTTGAGCCATATATACACGAAGAACTTCACAACCACTCTGCAGACTAAGACCGGGCCATAAATGATTATCAATATCCCTTTGAGGTGCATTCTGCTATAGCGCAGGCTTGGACAGTAGATGGGAACATGTTTGGGAACCCTCCGAGTTTAAGCGAGTTTTGGGTGGCCTGCGGCCTGGCAGCGGGTTAACCTGTTCAGGCTTCAAATGAGGTGGAGTTCCGGGTTTGGGGCTTAGGGTAGAAGGCACTCAATCGGACTTGTCAAATTTGACACGCGAACCTCAGAAATGACATGTCCGGATCAGGGCCGCAGGTCCAGAGATTTCATGGAGGCCCTAACCTCCCAAGAACAAGTACTATTACACTTACGTTTGCTCTTCTTAGTACTTTTACTATTCCTGTTACTATGACTATTCCTATATTACGATGACTATTACTACGACTATGACGATTACTATCATTAGATAGTATTGTTGTTATCACTAAGAGCGCGTGCCTGGACTTCACCTTGGCATTCTTGGTCTTCCTGGGTGGCAGGCTTCACTGGGTTGCTGTTAATGAACTTAGTTTAAGTTGCTATATTGGGGAAATCCTATTATTTACTATATATGTATATATACCCATTGTGGCAGCTTAATTTAAGTTCCTTAACAGCGACCCAGTTCAGGTAGCGGGCTTCATCTAGATTCCAGGAAATGAGTGCCCCAACTCCAGCTTAGCCTCTAGCCACCCTTAGTGGGGGTTATAGGGTATAACTGAAAAGAAAATGGAAACTACTAGTTGGGGTTCAGGATATACTTACCCATTTTATTTATGGTGTACCTGATCAAGACCTGCAGGTCTGCTACCCCAGTGAGACTGGAACTTTAACGAGGTGGGACACAGCCAGATTACAATTTAAAGTTTCCGCGGGGTGGCTTGCAAGAAAACCGTGTAAGATGATCGCTGAGGAGTACAAAGAGTTGAGTCAGGTCCTACACCTCAGCCAGTATCGGCTCTGAATCAATTACCCACAAGTTCTCGTGCCTTGTACCTAGGCATTTGGAGTTACAGGTAAATGGTAGTTTCCCAAAATGCGGGGACCCCAATATAGACCCCAAAATACTGTAATCCTTACTACTGGGGACCACCCAAAAAAAGGTACCCCTAATTGTGGGAAACCCTAAACCCTATAATCCCTAAACCCTATATAGCCATATTATATCCCTGAATAACCTCCACAACCCCCCTTAAAGGTATCCCGAATTTTGGGAAACCCCCAAATAGCCTGAACCCCTGTTCAAAGCCTGAGCCAGAAAATTGGAGGTTTAGGGTTTAGGGGTTTAGGGTTTAGGGTTTAGGGTGCTCCCAGGACAGAGCTCTACACCTGCAATAATATAATAGACTACAGTATATTGTAGTATATTGGAGTATACTAGAGTATACCATAACAGATCATAATATATTGTAATATATAGTATATTGTTGTATATTTTAATATACTATACCATATTTTAATATATGGTAATATATTGTAGTATATTATAGCATACTATAATACATTTTGGTATATTCTAATATGTTGTAGTAGGACCCTTCTACATTACCCTTTTTGGGCACTCAGTTGCATGGGAAGAATCTACTATGTACCAAACTAGGTACCCCAAAAAAGGGGGTAGGAGATCAGGGTCTAGACGTAGGGTTTACGGTTTCGGGTTTAGGATTTAGCGCGAGAGGAACGGATCATAATATTTGTCCAACATACCCCCGTAGAACAATCAGCGCAGACTGGTATGCTTACTATTTCGGTTTTTCTCGGTACTAACAGTACCTTATACAACCTGCTTCTTCATTGCTACAAACGACCCCCACACCCTAACCTCGCGCCAAGCAACGGATCCGCATTCTCCACCTGGGGGAGGTCTCTAAAGATGCAGTATTCAGAGAGCATGAGAAATCATAGAAGGGGCGAGGTCCCAATGAAGGTACAAAAGAACTATCAAGGAATCAAACTCTATACCCTAACATTGCCGGGGTGGGGGGGGGGGTTCGCTGAGGATTCCTTTAAGTTCCCTGGCCTGGAACCACTCTGGTAGAAAGTATGACTTGAGGAAGCCGCAGGCGTTTAGCTAGCAGAAGGTATAACTTGTTTTCAGGGAACTGACAGATTCGCAGCCCTCAACCCTAAACCCCGTTATCCTACAACCAAAACCCTATATCGCAAACCCCAAACCCTAAGCCCTATATCCTAAACCCTAAACACTTGAGTTATGCTAAACCCCTAACCCTAAACGCTATAGCCTAAGCCCGAAGCCCTAAGCCTTTTCCCACCTTGCTCTGGAGCCCGAGCTTGATCGGGAGGCTGCTCACCCCCGGCATTTCCACCTGGCATATCCCTGAATCGAAGGGTCAAGAAGGGATCTCTAAGGGGTTCTGATGGGTCTAGGGTTTAGGGCTGAGGGTTTGGGGCTTACAGCATAGGGATTAGGGCTATATTGGGACCTCTAGGGTTCTATAGGGCTGCACCATAAGGCTGAGGTTCGGTGAGTAGGGTTTATGGAGAATCAAATGGTGTAGAACGTAAAAAATCAAACGGACCCTAGGCCTCTTTGAAGGGGGATATAGGGATATTACCCCCACTAACGGAGCACCAACTGGAAAAGAACGTGGCAGACCCAATCACTTCAACCCCTCTGTAGTCCTTTGCAAGTAGGACTATAGGATCCCATAAAGTCTGCCCAACACCCCCAGCCTTAAATGGAAAACCCTAAGCCCTAAATCCTAAAGTCCTATAAACCCTAAACCCTAAATTGGGAACCCGTAATCTTCAGACAACACCAAATGCCTTCCAGCTTTTCAAGGCCCAACGTAATCCGTAAGCCCTGAGCCCTAACCCTGGATACCCCTTTTCCGGATTATCGCTGTACTTTGGTGTATATGAAGGGGATCCCGAATTTTGTGAAAGTATCCACGTGGATTACTTCCAAGTTACGTAGAGTCTTCGTTGTGTGCTTTAGGGCCGCCATCCGCGTTTATGGGGGACCTTGACCCTGCACGCCTTCCAAGTGCGTCTTGGTATTCGCACCCCCTAGAAAGTGGACAAAGAGCTACTGGTAGCATTTGATATGATTGCAGTATCAGGTTCCGCACTCCAAAAAACTCTGGCAAAGCGGGTATCATTGTGAAAAGAGCATGAAGCAATGGGGCCCTTGGGCCCGGCATGATCAGGACAAACGGAGGACCTGGTGGCAAACTCACAGGGCATTTCCTCCCCGTGGCTAGGATTTAGCGTTTAGGGTCAGCAGGTAGTAGAAGAATATAGTCCCTCTGAAGTAGATAGAATATGGTGTCGGTATATTATAATAAGATCCCATATACCCCACATTCTATCTACTTAAGGGGGACTATGGATCCCTAAGCTAATCCTTATGTAATCCCTCCCTTAAGTTTCCCCCATTGTCTCCTATCCCCACGTCCCCTCGTCTTGTAATTCCCCTCAGACCTTTATGTTGAAGCACTCCTTTAGGAGTGTACTACAATGAAAAGTCAACACAATCCTAAGAGGAGAGGAGACTAATCGCTAAAAGATTTGTCTCTTGCCTGCTTGGGCCCATGAGTGGCAAGGGGTTTAGGGTTCGGGGAAATCCCACCCCACTCCACCAACACTCCCAGTTTCCATTTAACGTTCCAATGTCTTTTCCATGTGAGTCACCACTATTGAAGTACTATCCCTACAAATCCCTGTAGGTACCTTTGCAAGGGCCTAGGGCTTCCATTTCTTTTCCATGATCTTTTCCCTGTGATTCTCCATTGTTGAGGGTAATCGGGTAATCTTCTAGTACCCTATAGGAACAGACATTTGCAAACGTTGAACGAAGGTAGCGGGTGAGAGTATCCAAACTATGCGGTACACGTGCAACCATGGAGCCCCACACCTTTCCTATGCCAAGTCCAATTCCTCTGCGGGGGCAGATTCCTACATCTTTGTAAGCCCTTGTGGTTTAGTGAGCATAGGGTGATCAAGCATCCGAACAGGTGCGAACCTAGATTCATTGGAAACCCGGAAATCCAGGCGTACTGGCTAGTTCATGCTAGTTCTAGATGACCTTTGCTCCACCTGCCCCCAACCTCTTTACTCTGGACGCGCAAGCCACTAAACCCATTAGAAGCCCCTAACCATCTGCAAGGCGAGTCGGATGGACAGGGATCTCCATGTTCTCCTTCTCGTTGTTCCTCAGCTTCTGCTTAAGTTATTTGGCTGCTGAGCTTGTTGACCTCCCTGGTCGAAAGCAAGGCTGAACCTTTCTGGCAAATCACTTCATTGGAGAAGTCATTCCCTCCCCTTCTCTTTCCCACAACTGAAAACAATCAATACAAAAAGCCCGTGAGAAAGTTGCCCTGAAACTGTTCATCTGTTAAACGTTTAAACGCTCAGCCTACGAACTAGTGGTAGGCTTTCTTGAGGCTAGGACCTGGAGAAGCAGGAACCAGACCAGCTGCTAGTCTGTATGAAGCAGGTGCTCGACCCCCAAGTAATTGCATAGCTGACGCCCCTTGGGAGAAAGTGGCCTGGCAGCCATAGCTCGCTTCTCACAATAGGGTTGAGGGTTTAGGAAGTACCCTTGGGGACCCCGGCCGCTTTTAGGATTGTAAGGGGGACAGGGGGGAACCTTCTCAATTTGTAATTGTACAAAGCATTTCAACAAATATCCCAGAACCCACACCCTCAGCCCACCATTTGGCTGGACATGAGCCCCAAGCACAATGGTAAGGGGATGCTAGTTACCCCAGCTGTCACTATCATATGACTCTAATGGGTCCTAGTTTCAGGTGTTGAGCAACGAAAATCCTAAAGAAAATCCTAAGGCATTGCCCAAGCCGATACTTACAAAGCCTGCTACTGGTATCAATCCTGAGCAGAAGTACCCAGACCGGACCCTTCAAGCAATCCTGAGTCCTCATGCCTTCGTCTTTGGGTTTAGGGTTCGGAATCCCAAGACGAAACCCTGAACCTCCTCAAGCTCGAACCTGAAAACTGCGCACGACCATCTGGAACTCAAAAACCCCTCAGCTTTGAACCCTGTGCACATGCAAAATCCGGCAGCCGCAGCCCTGAATGCAAAAGTTTCAACAGTCGGCAGAAATGACTACCTACAAAAGACCCTGCAATTGGGGTTTCCAAAAATTAGTCACTGACCGCTCTTCGCAAGTCTCTACAATAAGGATTACAAAGTTCACGGGATTCCTTGGCTCTCCCAAGTTCATTATGTGAACGCATGGACCAAAGCCTAAACCCTACATCCCTAAACCCAAAATCCAACCCCCATAAACCCTACAACCCCCCAAACCCTAGAACGCGATGCCCTACACCCCACCCTAAACCCTAAACCCTAAACCCTAAACCCTAAACCCTAAACCCATACCCGAAATCAAGCCAATCTGCGGGCTTAGCTTGTTCAGTCCGAAGGTGAGGTGACCGACGCGATGGAAAACCTCGATACGGGCCAGGCCGCTGTTGTCCTGTCAGGGTTTAGGGTTTAGGGCTTCATTGTTTGGAGTTACTTTTGGCTTTACAGTCTAGGGTTTGGGGTTTGGGGTCTAAGTCTAGGGTCATCGGATTTTAGGATTAGTGGTCTAGGGTTTCCTGCTGTCCTGCCAGAAGTTGGGGGCCTCAACCTACGTAGACTTTCCCTTGTTCGTCTCTTTTTGGTGGCAAATTTCATTGCGATCAGTTCTGCCCAACAGTGCTGTGACAGATCTGTTTCAAAGGGTTCTGGCTTGGGCATACCAAGCTCTTTGAAGTTGCCAAGAAAATTTGTCGGCTATGGTTACAGACTTTGGGATCATTCCCAAGAGTCTGCGAGGGCTCTTTGACAACAAAGGAAAAATCGAAAAGGGACAACCAAGTTCAACAGCTGAGGCTAGAACAGCATACGGGAATCATTCCCTGTAAGTGATTCTGGGAATTACCGAGCATTATTCCAAGCGTAGATGTGCCCCTGCGCTCGGTATGGAGCTGTGATGAGACCCTGGAGCACTAAACCTGCGGTCTAGGGTCTGGGGCTTGGAACCCTAAACCCTTAACCACATCCCCCAAGAAAGTGTCCCCAAATCTAAGACCAAAGTGTCTCCCGAACACTTACCCAGCCGAACTCCCCCAACCCCAAACCCCTCATATAGCCCAAATATGCTCATCCTTTCTATGAGAACTCCCGAAAAGAGGTCTCTGCTGTCCGCCATATTATAGAGTGTCCTCTTGCTGCGGGAATCGGAAGGTCTTCGCAGGGCCGAAACGGGACTGCTTCTGAACGTCGCCAATGCGGATGGAGACAAAGGTGTCCTGCTTAGAGACAAACTGTTTCAGGTCAAGGTTCGAAGTATGGGTGGGCCCCTCAGACTTCTACAGTCTAGAGGAAGGGCTCACATGTAACAATATGGGGCTACATGAAATCGGAGCCCTCCCTGCGAAGGACTCTACAAGGCTAAGATGTGAGGAATTCTCCTGTGGTTTCTGGTACATCCCTGGGCCCTGAACCCTGTTTGGCTCCTTGGGCACGGCAAAGCCATCAGCGGCATCCACGTGGATCTCCATGAAAGCAAAGGGGCCGGTCGATTTGAGTGTGGAAACTATTTTGAGGCACAGTTTGGAGCCGAACGCTGCAGAAGGCCCGGGTGGGGACGCCGCCATGTGCATAGGGTTATCATTGTCAAAGTAACTAACTAGAAAAATGGCAAATGGGCGGGCTAATGCGTCGTTCTGTGGCTGACAAGCTCTGGTCTTCATTCCAGCCAGGTCCTACAGTTCGGCTACGAAGCATTTATGGAAATCATTTCCTCAATCACTGCCGTGTCAGAAGTAGCAGCCTGTCACAACACAAAGCACGACGAGCCAGGTCGAGCCAGATTGTCAGACTAGCTCTAGTTTAACTTGAAATTAAGCTGCTCCGCAGTGCTTGTGTGTTTCTGGTGCGGTAGACAAACAAATGTGTGCTGCTACGAACCATTACATCAGTACATGTACGAACATAGCGATATTTGCGGTTCGTCACAAAGCTGGGACTGTTGCCATATCTGGGCCTCATCCAAGACTAGCAGCTGCAACATGGGTTATGGCTACAGACCAGAAGACAATCAAAATCTGCAAGGGTATCATCACATCGCTTCTTCTTCTCTGAGCTGCCCGAGGAGTAGGGTAACTATCTAAATACAATCATGAAGCTGAGAATAGTTGCGGCAGGTCTAGGTGTGCCTTCCAGTACAGTCGCTCTCGGGTTTTTTCATGGGAGTCTGCAGACAGTACGCCATCTTATGCTGCACACCCACAAGCTTCCAACTCTTTGGCTACCTACCTGCTGCTACAAAGCTGAAGATTGAGTTCAAAGGAGGACGCCATTTGGAACAACTAAGCTGCTGCACTCTTGCTATGAAGCGGTAAGACCTGCTAGCTGGCACTAGCGGATGCAAATTGACGGTCCCAGTCGGCCAGCCACGGTACAAGTATGTGATAGTAGTAAGAGCTGTGGAGCACCAAACTCAAAATCAACCAGAGCAAATCCTACAGCAACAGCAATAACTCCACCACCAGTCCTGCCCCAGCCGCCTCCACAGCCGCCTCCACAGCCGCCTCCACAGCCGCCGCCACCGCCGCCGCCACAATGACCACCACCACCACCGCCACCGCCACCGCCACCGCCACCGCCACCGCCACCGCCACCGCCACCAGTCCCGGCGCCGGAGCCAGCACCACCGCCGCAGCCGCCACCACCACCGCCATCGCAACAGCCGCCAATGTTGCCAGCGCCGCCACTGCTAGCACCACCGCCGACCACCGTGGCCACCGCCACCATGCCTGACAACAGCCACAGCAGCCCCAACGCCAACGCCAACGTGCCAACGCGGACGCCAAGGCACCAACCTCAACGTCATTAACAAGCCGAACAGCAGCAAGACCATTCAAAAAGCCACAGCAGCAACGAGCACAACAATACCAACAGGAAGACCATTTGTCGTAATCGTGAGACAGCTGTGACAACAAAAATGCCCAGCCGCATGGAGCCGTCGGACTCTTGAAACGTCGTGAAGTCCAAATCGCGACCTTGCCAAGAAATGTGGAACCCCCAACCAGACACAAGTTGTGAACACAAACCAGTTTAGCATATCAAGCCACTTTAAACCTACATGTGTTTTTACTGTTGAAATTTTGTGAACGCTGCAATGGCTAAGTAAAGACGAGACAGTTCGGTTCCAGCCCACATTACGGTCATAGGTCGTAGGCGCCTTGAGGGTTCGGGGACAAGGGACTGCTTGAATGCGAGAAAGCCCATGGCCTATGGCGCTCATTTTGGCCCTGGACCCTGAGCTTACGTGTTTTTTTTGTTACTCAAAACCAATCAGCCGTTTGCCTGTCACATGACCCTTACCAAATGACCCGACAGCGAGGTACGAGACAAAATCCTTTTCAACGTTGGCATAGAAAAGCTTTAGGATCCCTAGCTTACAAAGGATGTCGATTCTGCACCGGATTTCGGCAAGAGCGCGGCCAATGATCTTCCATACATGATATAAAGGGGCCGGAGGCACCAAGGGACCAACCACCGTGAAGGCTGTCCCTGCAAAACATATGGTTCACGAACATTGCTGCTGCCTTCCTCTTGGCGCAGAGTGAAGTTGAATTCACTCTATTTTCAAAACAGCTTCCCCAGCAGAATTCCTCGCTGGCAGCACCAGGCACACCCCTTGCATAGCGCAGGGTAATGGAAGGGGAGCCCTAGCTACAGAGACCGTCACGAAGAGGCCTCGCACTGACAGTGTCACATCAACCTCTGACTTACAAGCCCCTATATGGGTCTAGGGTTTGGGGTTTAGGCAAAGGGGCTCTGTATGCAAAGATTTAGGGAACAGTGCATATCAACCCAGGGCCCGCATAAGGTGGGCCTATGGTGAGATTAGCCTTTGACTCACCTCAGGTCTGCGAACAAGGGCCACTTGGACAAAGCCTGTAGATGCTTGCGGTACATGGCACTTTCCCTAACTAGGGGGGACACCAATATAGAGTTCAAAATGCTATAAACCTTTACAGGGACCCCCAAAATGTTACCCTTAACTTTGGGAAATCTGAATGGCAACAAAGTTTGACCATGGTGCTGCCCATAGGACCTCCAGAGCCGTACAATCTAAATCCTAAATGGAGGGTTCTCAAAATTTGGGATACCATTTGGGGGTACCCTCTTAAGGGGGATATAGGCTGATATGGGGGCTGGATAGGGATATCAGGGTTTAAAATAGGGGTTCTCAAAATTAGGGGGTACCAACTGGGGGTCCCTATAATCCGCCGACCTTGGGGGGCGTGTTGGATGGTTGCCGAAGGCGGAGAGGGTGAAAACCCTCTTCCTTTCTCCCTTACAGCCCCAAAAACGTGGGGGGGGGTGGGGGGGG